CGGGCCCGGGCGCCCCTACCCGAGACCCGGAGCCCGGCGCGCGGCCTAGGCGCTGCACCGGGCTGGCCTCGGGCCGGCTTCCGAGGGAGGAAGCGCGGGGAAGGTGAACCCCAGCGCGGCCCCTTCCTGGCTTTCCTTTGCCACCTTTATGTCCCCCTACCGCTGCTAGCCCCAGATCGCTTCCAGGAAAAGTAGTTTATGACCAGGCTGTTAAGGCCCAGGGGCCCAGGAAGAAAAGAGAATGGAGAGGGGACCAACGTGAAAGCCTTCAAGCCAGAGCTGCTTCTGATGAACCACCTGCCCCCTTCCCCCCGGGACTTGCAAAAGGTGTCATCTCCCCGGAAATGGGCTCCATTGATCCTCTGGGCCTGTGTCACTAGCCTGTGACATCATGTACCAATGACCAGGTTACAAACAGCGTGATATCACTTGCCTTAAGCACAAAGGCTCCCCTGAGAGGAGGGAAAGCAGAGCACAATGATGGGAAAAAGCCACTGGGTTGGGGTCCAGCCCTTCATTAGCTCCAGGCTCTGCGTTTCTCACCACCCCTCTCTTCTCTGGTCTAGAAAACCGAATTTCCAAGCCACTTGTCCATTTCTTGCACTTGGAGCACTGTTCTTTTTAATTTAATTTAGTTTCCCCCTCCCCTCCATCTATTTCAACATTTTTTCCCCATTCTACTTTTAACTATTTTAGAGAAGGAGTGTTTTCACAGCTAGTCCAATTGTTTTACCAATAACAATAAAGCTTTGTGACTACAGACCCGGGGGAGCAAGGGCAAAGAGTTCCGAGAGATTTTATGTTGTTCTTTGCACTGTCAAAATCTGTACCAGTCTTTTCTTTTGTTCCCATATTTGTTTGGCCCCAAGCTTTCCCACCATACTACTGCCTTCTTAGAGAAGGACACATATGGGGAGGAGAAGAAAAGATGTGAGAGGTCCTGAGCCAGGACTACTGACACAGCCTTCTCTATCAGACACAGTGTGTGTGTGGGGGGGGGGGGTTCGTGTGTTCGTGTGTGTGTTTTAAGATCCTTTTTGGATGCCGGGGAGAATCCTAAGAGAAAGTGAACTGGCATTGATGCTTTGCTTGGCTGGAAAATCAAGAACCAAAGGTCCTGAGCAAGGTTTGCACCAAGCAGTAGTGAGAAGTAGAGGCAGAATAGGCCTTCAGTACTGAGCCCCCGAATGTGGGAGAGTGTCCTAGCTGGCTCAGACCCAAGTTCTCTCTGATGATAAATCTATGGGGCTGTGAGTTCATGATCAAAGGACTCACAGTGGCACCCAACAGCTCTTCTTCTGTGGGTGGCAAGGCCTTCTAGAAGTGTTCATTGAACCTGAGAAGCCCCTAGTGAGGTGAGCTGGAGTCTGGCTGTTGTAGGGAAAGGGGAAGAGGAGGCTCAGCTTACTCTTGTCCCCTTGGGAATCAGAGCAGTTGGCTGGGCCAAGACAGCAATGGGACTTTGTACCCGCCTACACACACACACACACACACACACACACACACACACACACACATGTTGGCATCCTCCTCCAGGCCAGGTCCACACGGAACATGCTGCCAAGCACAACAAGTCTTGAGAGAGTGTTCGATGTTCCTCTACTGTCTTAGCAACACAGTGTTTGCTTGCCTAGTGTTGGTCTTTTTCCTGACTAAGAAACTCCAGACAGCCTGACATCTCTTCATTTGGGGTCCTTGAATAGACACTCAGCCTCCCTCTAAGCTTTCAAATTATAGCAAACAGAGGAAGCAGCTGAACTGCACTCCTCAAGCTCAACTCATGGTGTGAAGAGCTCTGAGAAGAGATGAGTTGGGCAGAGATTATTTACACTCATGTGAGGAAAGGTTTTTTAAGTTCGAAGTGGTGCAGAATGTCCCCTCTGTGAGTCCACATGGACCTCTTGCAGACTTCTCTTCCACCAGAACCTCAATGATTCCTTCCTGCTCAGCACACATTTACTGAGTGCCTCCCATGGGCCTGGACTCCTCCAAATGAAGGCAGCTGCTGCTCTGGAGGTAGGCCCTGGGCATCACTCATGAAATACCTCTATGAGTCTGGCACATAGTTGGTGCACAGACATAAGGTGTCTGTGTTGGAAATACCAGCTCAAACAGCTAATGCTAGAAAAGATTGGGTAAACCCCTATTTTGCCCCTTCCACCTATGAACTAGGGATGACTTCGACTCACGGACATCATGTGCACTCAAATGGCAAAACAGCATTGCAAAAATGGAGAACAAAAAAGATACAAAATAAAGATGCAAACTGGTACCTGAAACTTTTTTTTTTTGCAAAAACAAGTGGTGTAGAATGCTTAGAATCAAAGAATTTTCCATCTAGAAGGGACATTCCTCTAATTTTACAGAGTAAACTGTGGCCAAGAGGAACTAACCATGTTGCCCAATGCTAATAGCTATTTCGTACCAGGCCTGCTATCTCGCCTTCCACCACACTTAGTATGCTATTCTCAGGCAAGAAGAGTTTGTTAGCCTCGCATGGGTGGTTCATGCCTGTAATCCTAGCTACTCAGGAGGCTGAGATCTGAGGATCAAGGTTCAAAGCCAGACAGGAATTAACCACCAAAAGGCCAGAACTGGACCTGTTGCTCAAAGGGTGTAGCATTAGGCTTGGGGGGGACAGGGAGTAAGCTTATGGACAGCCCAGTTAAAAAGTCCCAGGACAAGGGGCTGGGAAGGTGGCTCAGTGGTAGAGCGCTTGCCTTGCATGCCTGAGGCCCTGGGTTCGATTCCTCAGCACCACATGAGCAAAAAGAAAAAAAGCCGGAAGTGGCGCTGTGACTCAAGTGGTAGAGCGCTAGCCTTGAGCTGAAGAACTGAGGGACTGTGCCCAGGCCCAGAGTTCAGGCCCCACGACCGGACCCAAAAAAAAAAAGAAAGTCCCAGGATAGACACAAAATTTAATTAATTAATTAATTAAAGAGCACACTTAGCACATGTCCAAACCCCTGAAGATCCAGAGTGCTTTGCACCCTTAAAAACTGGCTCATATCAGGTGCAGTAACTCACTTTTGTAATCCCAGCTACTCAGGAGGCTGAGATCTGAGGATTGTGGTTCAAAGCCAGCCTGGACAGCCAGTTACCCACCAAAAAGCCATCCAGTATCAGGGTTATATATTCCAGGCACTCAATAATTTTAAAAAAATTATGGGCATCTCAGCAGATCGTTTTAGATGCGATTGTTGCTAAGTGATGTCTAGGAAGAGTTGGAGAACAGAAAGTTCTAACTTATTCGACCTGGGTACCAGTTCCCGGACAACCATAAATCAGCCCTGGGACCTTAAAAACTGACTTTTCTTCTGTATGTCTCTTGTGATCTTTCTAGTTTCCTCCAGCTCTGTGATGGTGGATAGTTGTATATAAAATGAGTTTCTGGCTACATTATTAACTAGAGATATGCAAATTTGAGTGAAATTGGGGCCCCCTCCTGGCCAAAGTGGTAATAGCATTGTTAACTCCAGCAGCTGGCCAGGGTTGGCTTCCCTTCCATATCCTGGCTGACCTCTGGCAGGAACAAGCAGAGGGCCTGGCACAAAAGTATTGTCATTGTACAAACCAAGAGTGCTAGGGCATATGCGTCTCTCTCTGTTTCTCCTCTTCTTCTCCCTTTTTCTTCTACCCTGTTCTATTTTTCTCAGATGTGCAGACTTTTTTTTTAAGCATGTCTTGATGATCTTCCCACGAACATGGAGCAGACAACGAGACCAACTTCCCAGGGAAGTAAATTTCTGGTCAGGCTTCTTTTCTCATAGTTATCAGACCATTCAACCAGTCAGTATGAGGCCGGAGCACTGTGGTCTGCTCTGCCCCATTGTTCACTAATTCCAGTCATAATAGAGCCCAGCCACCAGGTGGTGGAAGCCACTTGTCTCTGTTGCTAACCCGGGGCCTCAGCCTGCCTCTTGTCTCAGCTTTCTCCCTGGTGACCATTCTTGAGTGGCACATTTTGTTCCTTTTTTGTTTCATTTTGCTGTCTTTGATAGACTCACTTGCCAGAATACAGAATACAGAAAGAAATCTGGTAACTTGCACAGCCGCTGAGTCAAGAACACAATTACATTCACAGAGGGGGAAAAAATATTCTCTATCTCCAGGCTGTATTCCTAACTCTGTCCAGACATCTGGTCCTTGAACTAGCACATCAGGCCCTGGTTGTACATCTTCTAATCTCAACTACAGAACTGAATTCCTACCATCATCTAGGAATAAAAGATCAGTCAGTAACTGTTGTTCCAGTGTAGTTTTCTTGTTCAAAATCCCCTAGATTTTCCAGAAACTAACAAACTCTGAGTTGGCCATTAGGGAACAGAAAAAAATTTTAAACCC